GCGAGCGAGGGCGACCGTTCCTTCGATCAACGAAGCTACGGTGACCTAGATAAGCCTTCCCGAACATTTCTTTTGTGTCCATTGTAGTTTATCCTCCCCCCCCCCCCCCTTCCAAGGTCGTACACAAAAAGCTTTTCCCTATTGTTTCTAATAGTGCCTTCGTTTGAGTAATCCTTGGACATTGTTCCTAAAAAAAAAACCATTCAATATTTTTTTTTTTTGGCCGGGGGGGGGGGGGGGAGGGGGGGGGGGGGGTGAGAACATAGTTTGCCTCTATATCGGGGACAGCCACAATGGGCGAATATTGAATCAGCGTGTCACACCAGGTAAATCTTCTCTCTGTCTTACCCCGTCCGACCGTCTTTCGGGGCTCAAACCATAGCCCCAGAACTATTTTCATCTTGTTTCTATGTTAAAAATATAGCTAGCTTGATTGTTTATATTGCCGATTACTAACCAATTGCTTAACCCCTGTTACTAACCGAGCTGTATTCGCCACTTTCATCGATGGCGGTACCGCGGTGTGACAAACGCGCTCCCTTGTTTGTGAATGATCGATATTACAATAGCGATCTCTGTTTACACCTCCCTGATATGAAAATATTATGCAAGTTTCTAAAATCCGTATTTACAGAGATTAGATTTACTTAGGTGGTGTAAGCGAGCGCAATTCTGTTTTGGCCCTTTTTTTTAATTTTATTTCGCCGAGCACATTCCAAGCGAGCACCATTGTGGTTTGCCGTTTTCTTTTATTTCGCTGGGCGCAAGGTTGTGTTTATACTAACTCTTCGGCATCAAGGGTCTCGCACGTGGATTCCCGCGCCATGAAGGTGCGGCTGGCTGGCGTCGGGCAGGATGCAGATCGGGTCACAACCTTGGGCAAGACCAAGCTGCGCAAGAAACCTATGCGCGAGTCGAACAGCGGCACTCAAAGCGAGAGTGTGTGTGCGATGGTGGTACGCGACCACCAATAGTGTCTGTCTTGTAAACTAAAATTGTATCGAGAATTTTAAATCTAGTGTTTCTTTAATTTAAAAAAAACCCATCAAGACCTCGTTTATTTTCAAGAAGTTATTTTATTTGAAACAACCATCGATAACAGGTGTGACTGATTTATCCTCGCACTGCTGTTCTGCGTGCGTAGACCGCACCTGGTGTTTAGTTGACACGGAAATCTTCTTATACACGGCACACCTAGACAAATGCCTGCTTTCTTAGCTCTCAAAGTAGCTTGCATTATACATAAATCATCATTAACATACTTTTTCATTCACGAGATCCGTCACGTCTTGTCATAATGAACGATTCTGAAAAACAACATTCCTGTATAGTCCGCCCGCACAGCTTACAAGTTCAACTTTTAAACATGTATAGTCCGCGACTATAGCCTGGAAAATACGGTACTTACACACACTAACAAAACTTCTCTACAGTCGCCTAGCTTTACATGATAAGGACCCTCGAGGGATCGAGAACGTGGCATGCGCAACGATATAAAAAATAGACGTTTTAGTAGCTCGTTTTATCATACGAATAGCACTAGCCGATAACGGTAAAGTGGCCTTATCGAAGCGACTCAAGATCGTACATCGTGCCGAGGGCGCTCACTATATCTGTTGTGTCTGTACATTCACATAATAACATGAGATAAGATTGTTTACAAGCTTCTGAAAACTGCGTACATTCATTGACTGTCCGAGAGATTTGGCTTTTTAAAGAACAGTCTCAAATGGCTACCACACGTATAAAAAAAAGATGCCACCTATAGCGCAGTTGCTCGGGCGTGTGAACCAAGCCAAGTAACGAGATCTCGCGATAACGACACCCATGCATTTTATCAGTGGTGTGAAAGGTCACGTAAAGCTGTTCGTGTGCATTGATACCGACCAAGCCTTGTTTTCTTAATTCAAGAACTCTCCAGGTGTTGCTGACGCCAGAAAAAATCAGCATGGGCCCAAGACGTACTGTGTTCTCTCCTTTTCCTTTCCTGTTTACTGTTATGGCCATTCCTACGTATTCTCGCTTCTTATTTATCTTGGCCCCTAATATTTCAAGCCATGACAAATAGAAAACCGTGTGTTCCGAACTCGGAACACAGCGCGCAGCTAAAGCAATCCTTTCCGACGAAGATCTTCATCGCGTGTGCTGACAGGCAACGTGTTAATTGAACCAATGCAAACAGAGAGATAGATCGACCAGGGGTTCGTGTCATTTGTCAGGCTGAACATTAATCAGTTTCAACATTACTTGTTCAGGAAATGGCGCCGCAATCGACTGGTCTTTTGTGTCACCGGAATGCTGGCTCTCCTAATTCATTATCTAACATACTCTCCTAACTCCCCAATCTATAGATTAGGCTTTTAGGTGCCGCGGAAAATGTGTTTCAGCATAGCGTGTGTATACGCAGGGTATTATTGCGGGGGCTCAGTTAATGAATACGTCGCCCCGTTTTCCGCGTGCGCACTTCACGCACGAATGTACTACGTAGAGGAACGTGATGAAAAAAAACCAAAAAAACATAAGAGTAGTCTGCTTTCTGAGCACTGTCTCGTCTTACCTAAACTCAGTGGATCCTGGTAAAGTAGCGCCATTGCCGAATTCCCTGTTTGCTAGCCGGACACAAACAGATAATAACATACAGCCGACCAATCCTCACAGGGTGATGGGCTAATCGGTCTCAGTTGCCATGGAAATCGCCATATCCGTCCATTCAAATCTTCGAAGCTTCGCAAGGGTCGTTCTGAACCAGTCGCGCCAAGATCACTATGGAGCATCACCGTACTGAAAGCGTTCCTCACCAATATAAGCGTCTTAAGAGCTGTGCATGCAATCCACTTGTTAATCCTGCTTAACTCTGCATATCTCTTACAATGGTTTTGTTGTTCTTACTTACTGAAAGACAGGAAAAGTATTTCTCAATGCCGCCAAACACCGGCACCACATATGGTGGCATTGCGAAGGTGTAAGCTTGTTTCGCCTGTGTATGGATAACAAAATCTTGGTATTTGAGAAACGTCTCCATAGAGCTACCCGTCACCAGCGAATTTAGATCGGCTGACCAAGAATGGAGCGGTGGACGAGAAACTGCTCATTCCATGGGCTAAAATGGCTTTACAGTTGATCAAGAGTTATCTTCATGACCGATATTAGTGTGTTGAAATAAATAAGAAATGATCTAATCTTCAGCCGTTTACCGCTGGGGTGTCCCAGGACAGTATTTTGAGGCCGCTTCCTTTTTTACTTGTATATTTATGCTCTGGTAAACACTGACTTTTCACAATACTGTGAACTACTTTATTGAGAATAAACTAAATGACTGGAGAACATCAAATTCCCTGCAAATAAATGTAGGCAAAACGAAGGCCGTCCTTTTTAGATCCCGAAATACAAATTGTAGGTATACGTCTGTGCTTTCTCTTGGCACCGGCACTATTGCTATAGCTGGGAGCGTGGTAGTCCTAGGGGGAATTTTTAGTCAAAGCATGGTTTGGAACGAAATGGCGTAATATATGTGTAATAAACTCTCCAAAGCTGTGGGTACGATATACGGATATCGTCACATGATTCCCAGCTCCGCTATGGTACTCGTTTACAACTCTATTTTTTTACGCTCATTATAATAATTGTTTCTTAGTATGGGAAAATACTACTTTCTCGATTATCAAACAAATACATATTCTATAAAAAAAGTGATTCGTATAATATACAACCTATGTAGTCATACGAAACCATTCGAAAAATTCAATATTGTGCAAGTTACCTATTACTAAGTTACACACTTGCCCTTTCATACAAAATGCCGTTATGTCATAACCATTTATTCCTATCAATTTCCCACCTTGAGTTCAGAGAAAAGACTTACAATACTCGTTGTACGGATATATACTCAATACCGCATTCCAGGACTAATAATGTCAATCAAATAATGTGATCTACACTACCGCGTTCTCTAAATTGGTGCAGCGAATTTAACATGAACATTATGAGTTGGACTCGGAAAGAGGAGCAGTCTGTTTTTGTTACAGGTTTTTATAATTATGTCTTCGCATGGTAAAGCATGAAGTGATTGTGCGATTAGGTTATTTTCTCTTTACTATCTTTGATACTAGTATTTCGTTTGTTGGTAATTATATTAGTGATGTTATAGATATTGTGCATGCATGTGTATCCTCTGCTGCTCTATGGGGGGGGGGGGGGGGGGGAAGGGGAAGGGGGGGGGGGGGCAGAGGCTTGCCAATCAACACTGAGCTGCTTTTTTCTTTGCCTCCCCTTTCCAAGTAGAAATAAATAACGAATTGGAATTTGAGCTTAGTGCTACTTTCCCAGGATCCACTGACAATAGTCTGACCTATCGCTGACACGCACAATTAAAATCTAGTGGAAATGTCAAAGAGCAACTAGCACCCACACCGTCATAGCAGGGGAAAAAATGGTGTTGCTTGTATATTTATACAGCCATGATGTTGGTACGCCTGAACGGGTGACCTGTCTCTTAGCTGTAGGTTAGAGATTTAGCCAGTGAGTACAACCGCTAGCCTAGGATTTTTTAACGTGCATCACGCAGTAGTGATTACACGAACGCGTGCCGGGCGGTACGAAACTCATCCGGATCGAAACGGGCCAAAAAGGAGACAAGAAAAAGCCAGTGTGTCAAAATGATGCAGCCCGCGTAAGTTCGACCTCCCCCATCGCCTCGATCGCCTGTCCGCCACCACAGGACGTCGTCAACACCGCGAGGAGAGAGAAGTCAGTCTCACCCACACACCACCCAGCCACCCACCCACACACCCACACGCTAGAGCACATACACACACACACACACCCCGAGGGGAGGGGGGGGGGGGGGGCAACTTAGGAAGATGGGGGAGGGGGGCAGGCAATCCGGGAACCCCCCACCCTCGGACGTGCTCGAGGCTAGCCCAGTCCCCACTTCCCCTGACCCCCTTAGCGGAGAGGAGGATCGCGGGCCGCACCGTCACAACCGGCCGGCTCTCTCGCAGGTCCCGATGCCAGGCCAGACGACTCAGAGTCTTCATGGCAGCGCTCCAGCCGCCGGGACGCCGTGTTGTGAGTCCGGGCGCCCCGTCTTGACCGACCCCATCACGGGCCAGACGGTGTGCTCGTGCCAGTACGACGCTCAGCTGCTCAACTACCAGCGGCTCGCCGCCTCCGGTCTGCCCATCAACATGTACGGCACCGCGGCGTACGCCGCAGGGGAGCAAGGCTTCCTGCCGCTCGGCGCCGCCGAGCAGTCCGCCTTCTACTCGCCTTCGGTAAGTGACCGAGCCGTCCTCTGGTCTCCCTTCTTCCCTCGACGGGCGCGCTCCGGACTTGAGTGACCGGGGTGCCGTCGAAACGCGCGCGGGACGGTCTCGCCGTGGTCGCGCAAATGCCGCGGTGACCGCGTGCTTCTTTGACGTCGTGTTTCTCGAGGCTCGAAGAACCTACGTGTTACGTTATTTCGGGTGTGAGAGGTAATGCGATACTTAGTGCATCGTGAAAGCAGGTGTCCAAGTGCCGGCGCATTACTTTTGCGGCTACGTTATGCCACTTTCCACACGAGGATCAAAGTCAGAATGTTGATGGCGTAGGCTATCAAATATTTTTAATGCAGCAGCACAAAAATTTTGTTGTAACAGAGTACTTACCGTTTCCCCTTGGTTGTTTATTTCCGGCGTTGCATATTCGAAACTAAATTTAATGTAAACGGGAGCAAAGCGTTTCTGAGGGTATGCTTCGTAAGTTGACTGCAAGGAAACGAAAGGAGAGCGTCCAATCGGGCACAAGTTCTTTATTGTTCTTGTAATCACGTCCTTACCTATGCGTATGGTTAACACGATTATGCGCTGGAGCTGTGTTGGCCTTGTTGAGAGGACGGTCATCAGATCTTCCCCTCTGCAGGGTTAAATCCGGACGTGCACTGTATTGTTGCTAACGCGATGTGGCCCTTATGATACTTTTGTACGTGTACACAAACTCGGGAGCGTTGGTTCTACGTGCGCCGGTCCCTCAACACCCGCCACCTCACCGCAACAGTGTGCATCTTTTCGATTATGTTTTCGCGTAGAACTATGCAAGTTCCGACAAGAGTTCATTCCCCTGAATCCAATCCCAGTTCGAAGCATATTGGTACTTGTTCAACCCTCCGCTGCTTGCTCGGTGCCTTGTTTCGAAGAGGTGGAATTTACATTGTAGTATTTTGGGGGTAACTTATGCGGCGCTTAATCCAGTCCGTGGAGCAAGCCCTTGTTGTGTTTCTCGTTTTTACTGGAATGGGGAAGAAGGCGTGGTACAAACTGTACAGGTGTGCTAGCATGTACGCGCCTTCTTCCCTGGACTAATAATTGGTTTTCATGATAATGAAGTAACCAACTTCCTTATATTATATTTATAGTATTATATACACGTAAAAGAGTTTTTTTTTCTTTTTTTTTTTTTGTAATTATTTTTGGTGGCGTGCGCGTCGCTGCAGACCCAGCATACATATATGAGATGCTATCTCTACATACTGCTTTTAGACAAATACCCTGTACACTCCTCGCGAACGCGACAGCGGTGCTGTTTAGCATTTTACTTTGAAGTGATATTGGCGTGCACCCGATTTCGCCGTTTAAGTTAGTGACGCAAATGAGCACGTTTAATGGCACTAGTGTTTGAACGACAACTTTTCGATTCCAAGAGAAAATCACGAAAAGTTGACAATCACTTGTTCGCGCGAGCAGTGTCGCGCTGTGCACATGGTACCATTAATTAGTCTGAGCAAAATGTACGAGCTTGGTTACGTTAACTTAGCATTCCAACCAAGAAGGCACGGGGAAACGTTCAGCACACACACGTGTATCAATGGAAAATGTCATACTACCCATGCAAGCATAATTGGTTTATAGAAAAATATTTGGCTTTGATGGGGAAGTGAAGTTTAGTTCATATTTATTAAACTAAACAACTCATGTTTTCATAATTATCAGTCGATTGATTGAAGTCGTCGCGCTACTTGTTCGGTGTTGTCCAGAGAAAATGGAGGTTAGCTGGGAGAAATGTGGGCCTCCTTTACGGGGCAAGTCGCTACCCGGGGCAGGTGGCTACTTCACAACATGGTTCAGCTTGAGATGCCGTGCCCAAACGATTTGCGGTATGGTAGAAGGCATTGTGCGAAACGAGCGAAGATGCGAAATTTGAAACATATTTAGGCCACGCAGGTATCGAACCGATCGGGCTCCTTCGCAGAAACATGTTAATGCTGAATATCTGCTAATCTAGCACTACGAATATAGTATTTTGAGTGAAGGCTCAGTTTTAAGTTTTATGACGAATAGTCTTAAAGTTTTCTCATTAGGTTAATCCAGCGTTTTCCCAGCTCTCGATTTGCTATTTTTTTTGTATGAATTTGCGTGACAGGAAATAGTACAAACATTCCTTTCGAACATCCAAGCTAGATCCTGCTAGCTGTATCGAGCTACTGTGACCTAGACTGAGCTCCCGCGACATCACTTCTGTGCCCATTGTGGCTTATCTGTCTCACCCCAGTTCATACAAAGAGCCTTCGCCTTTTCCTAACGGTGCCCTTTGTTTCCTGATAAGCAATACTTCAACCGAGTATCCGGGCGACTCATAAAACGTTCTTACAAAAAAAAAAATTGAATCCTACAAACAAATTCGTATTCACGAAAAAAAAGTAATGATACGTTTTGCATAGGTGCATAAGTGACAAACTGGCATATTTCATCGTAATCTTTCCGATTAAACATGTCAGTTGGTAACTTTCTGTCAATTCAAACTAATTGAAGCAGTGTAGAAAGCTTTGGAGGTATTTCCCATACTTCGGTAATCGGCCTTCGTAATCGATTAGGGTCGTTCCTTTTGTCTGAATAGTCTCTTAAAGCTGCGGGTAAATTGCTCTGTTCAAGCTATTCAACCATGTAGACATTCAACCACGTAGACCGGTACGTAGCACCCATTGAAGCCCATTTACGAGCACTTTGAGCTCACGCCGATGTCTTGCGCTTGTTTGAATGCTCAGAAGCACGCTGTCTCTGCCGTGGGCTTGTCGACTGCACGGGAGCCTCGCGAGGCAGGCGCGATTATCGACATTCCTCCGCTTCACTTTGTAGATCCGGAAAGACGCACCAGTTACGCCCCTTGGTGGACAGTGAGACAAACCCGGCGAGTATGCGGAGACAATTTAGCTCCCGAACAAACGCCCTGACAAAGGACACGAGGGCAGAAACGGTAAGGGCGAGACAGCCTTCAAATCGTCGGCCTCTGTTCTCGCTCAGTTTGAGACTTGGCGAACGCTCGAGCTAGACCACCAACAGCAACGTACAAAAAAGAAGCGGATCCGGAATGCGCTTTCGCTCCGACATCTTGTCCTTTTTAGAAACGGATGTGGACGACACAGACTTCACAAAAAAACGAAGAAAAAAAAAGTCTCCGTACACCGGTAATGGCAGTTAGAAGATGACAACGCTACACACAGAGCAAGTAGGAACGTGTAGCAATCTCAACCCCACCCTGTCAAGGCCTCAGTCTCTCTCTCTAACTCTCCCCCGCACCCCCCCCCCTCCCCCACCCCTCTTCCCATTTTCGCCCCCAAAAAATAATAATAATAAGAAAAAGAAACGGCAGCACACTGCGTCTCTAAGAATGTTTATCGAAAAATGGAAGTTCCTGTTTGGCGTTTCTTTCACTCCCGAGACGAATGGAGAGCGTGTGTCTCTCGTCACCATCCGGACGCTGAGCTGTGCTCGCTTAATCCGCCGATTTTTGAATCCGACGCGTGAATGCACAGGTGTCACGTGTGAACACGGGCAGTCAGGCTCGGGCAAGTTCGGACACAATGCCCAGAGACCAAGTGGAAGGCTGAGAGAGGGAGGCTCGCCCAAATGAAACGCGTAAAATGACGGTTCACACTCCGGACACTGCGGGGGAGGGGAGGGGGGCCTCGCCCGGACACAGAGTTGTTGTTGCGGCCCATTGGGGTCAGCGTTCGGGATCATGTCGCACATAAGTTAAGCTCGGTTGACAGAGATCCCACACCAGCCCTTTGTGGCTTCGAACAGGACGGGAAGAACGGCGCCTCGACAGAAGGAGCGCCCCCAAAGCCCCAAGAAATGTGCGTGGCGAAATTTCGCTGACACTGCTGGGGGGCCTTGGGAGCAGCTCTCGAGCCAACCTACTTTCCGGAGGACACGGGTCTTTTGTCGAGTCGGGTATTAGAGTTCTGCCTCTCCTTTTCTGGGTGCGTGTGTGGCCCACTAAAACGCCAGTGCCTCCACGGGCTCTAGCCAGCCAGGATTTGGGGTTGTTCGACGTCGTTTCCATGGGGCGAATGTCGGTCCCGCGTATTTAACCCATTGTCGACAAACGCTTTCCAGAAAAATCCTCCCTAGAAGCTTTTCGTTGGGGAAGCAGTCTAAACCCCCCCCCCCCCCCTCCCCCACTTTACTCCACGCTCGCATACTTACATTTCAAAGCCCTTCGAGTCACGTCCCAACCATATTGATGACTCGTGCCCGCCGTTGGCGATTTTACACGCTGCTTTCGGATGGTCAAGTAACCATGATGGGAAAACATTTAAGGGAGGTATTTCTTGGCTTCTCCTATCGCCCGCAAATATGCTTTTCGCCTACTCTTTGACCCAGGACGTATTCGCGGCTCCGATAACGGAACCCGATACTCCGCCGTCGCCTTTGCACATGCATCGTATCGTTATCGGAGGTATTGGAACGATCTACTAAAACTTTCTAATGATACGATGCATGCGTAAAGGCGGCAGCGTAGTCATCGGAACGATCTACTAAACCTCTCTAAGGTATATATAATTCCTGTTCTTCTGTTTTGCATTTTCAACAACCAGGCCGCGCAAACCTTATCGCCGTACATTTCGAAATGCGCGAGCTTCACATTTCTAAAAGTCCCGTCTTTGACTTTGGACGGCGTCGGCTCCTCTGAAGTTGCGAATACAATATTTTAAGACAGAAAGGTCAATTCCTTTCAGCTGTTAGGAAGTGTACCTGTACTGCCCACGAGCATAAAGTTCCAGTTGTACTAGAAATTCCTAGGTCAAGAGTTCAGTGGAAGCTCCCTCCCAGCTCTTTCCACTTTAGCAAAGCAGACGATGGAGAGGAGGCGACCGCCTCTCCAGCGCTCGCTCTACTAAAGTGGAAAGTGGCGTAAGGAACTTCCTCTTCACTCTTAACTTGTCACTGACTATTGTACCGCAGTCCCTTGACGATTAGTAGTGTATTAGACAAGAATTCTTCACGCATTATGA